CAACTTTTACCCAAATTTTAAAAAATCAACAGTATTTCCATTTTTCTGCAGCAGCAGTTCTAAACACATATATAGTCTTAGTGCATCTATATGTAAGAACAAGGACTGATTTAATCTCCTTTTACATCACATTAGTTGCTTCTGTTTCTTCTTTTAGCATAACAGGTCACAAAATAAGTGTAATCTATAACTGGCTTTGTCCGTAACTTATCTTTGGGTGCAGCATTATTACATCCCAAGTGTGAAGCACTACACAAAGCAGGGTGCACTGGAAAGGAGGTTGATATTTATTGTGAATCCTTTCAGAATGAGAGTGTGTTAGTGCAGGCTTTGTTAATTCTGAGAGGTTCCAGTTAGCTTTGATGTATATCAAAAGTCAATGCTTTGCTCTTGGCATATCCCAAAATGGGAAGGAACAGCACTGCAGGAAAACAGGAATGGAGAAAAAAAATCCATTTGTTATTGCAAGTAGTCTTTATTTGTATTGCCCAACAAATTTCAGACTAAATTAGTTCTTAAGGGGGATTATAAATCTATATGATACATTATAATTGAACAAAAATAAAAACAATAAGAAATACATTATTCAAAACAGTACTGTCATAACCTCATATCTACCATGCATAGTCTAACAACATTTTTATACTGTATACAACGAACATAACAATATTCAAATAATTATATTTGTAAAATAGTAAGGTTATTCACAAAATAATTCATAAAACAAAATCCATGCTAAAAGGAGTCCTTAATATATGTACCAAATGTTATATCTGTAATGTAAATTTAAACATTACCTACTTTCTTCTTTTAAAAATACAATAAAACCATAAAATGATATTTTTTTTCTGTTTGTGCCTGTAATACAACTCAATTTTTTTCTGGCTCCCAGGTAAAAAGATGCCTGCTGTTAACTTTGTGGCCAGTGCTAATCAAAGTACTAAAAGCGTTAAATTATACTAATACAGGTAGTTCACACTTAATGGCCACAATAGGGACTGGAAAATTCCTCATTAAGTGAGGCATCACATGACCACACTGATTTTATGACATTTTTTGCGGCAGCCATTAAGCCAATCACCACAGTCATTACGTGAATCATGCAGTTTCCCATTGATTTTGCTTGCTGGAAACTGGCTGGGAAGGTTGCAAATTGCAGTTACATGACCTCTGGATGCTGCAACCATCATAAGTGCAAGCTGGTTGCCAAGTGCCCAGATCGCAATCACGTGACCATGGGGGCACTGCGGCATAACTTCAGTCGCTAAACTAATGGTCGTTAAATGAGGACTATCTGTATGAACCTACAGAATAGTAAGAGAAAGGAACATCTCTATAACACTGCTCAACTCAACACGGACTCTGGCCGGCATACAAATTTTGGATGGGACATGAAGTATGCCTGCTCTGTTGGACCTTACAGGATGGGAGAGAAGCTGCCCCTCAGATAGCCAGGTATTACAGGTGGTAAACCTAGCAGAAGTGTCACATGGGCATACTGAGGTGTGCCATTAATTACTTGCACCTCTCCATTCTGGACAGGCTGTAATTTCCAAGTGGTCTTCAAGGATATTGCCATGTAGAACACATTACAGTGGTCTATGTACAAGGTGACCAAGGTGTGAATGACCATAAGAAGAGATACAATTGGGGCACCAGCTGATCCTGTGCGAAGGCCTTCCTGGCCACAGCTGGTGTCTGCTTTTCAACCAAGAACTGTGAGTCCAGGAAGATCCTTAAATTGCACACCAGTTCCATTTGGGGAATGCAATCCCATTCAGATCTAAAAATGGAGAATTTCTGGCATTGGAAAAACCATGAACCCACAGCCACTTAGTCTTGTCAGGACTGAGTTTAAGCCTGTTCTTCCAGACTCCAGCAACCTCTAGGCACTGGGACCTTGACTGCATCATTTAATTAACCAGGGGTTGAGACATACAGCTGACTGTCCTCAGCATACTAATGATATCTGACCCCATGTCAATGGGTGATCTCACGTGGCGGCTTCATGTAAGAGTACTGAATCCAGGGGATTCAGACTCGACCTTTTCCCATCTGTAAACACCAGCTGGAATCAGCCATGGAGAAAGGAGGAGCACAACAACACTGCCCTCTCATTCTCAAATCTTGTACCTGGTCCATGATTGATGATGTTACGACATTTCAAGGAGAACCAGTATGGTTGTACCACCCCATCCCGGCTCCTCCAGAGTTAATCAACAACTGTGATCAATGTAATATCTCTACTGTATCCCAGTTTCAAACCCAACTGATACAGGCCCAATCAATCTACTTCTTCCTAGGCCTCTGAAGCTGCAGTATGACCACCTTGGCAACCTTGCCCAAAAAGGGAAAGTTGCAGACAGGATGAAAATTGTCCAGAACCAGTGGGCCCAGCAATAGCTTCTTGAGGAGGAAGCACATAACATCTCAATCCCCTCCCTAAAATATTGGGAAAGATGCATGAAAACCTTTCCAAAAACAAGTACTTAGTATGATAACTATCCAAGGGTAACATCATCAGTGGCAGAGTCTGGTTTAGCTCAATTATGTGCCAGGGTATGTATCAATAATCTCTACTGTTTGACATCTGCAGCAAGGAGCTTGGGATGCCAAACTGGAAAGAGTGAAGAAAAGGCAGAGACCACATCAAGGCTCCATTTTTGACCTATCTCCTCTGCCTCAGAGCTTGCTATGACCCATTAACTGTGACCTATAAGAATCCTGTGTTACAACCAGCAGCCCAGGTTTCAGAAATTTCTCCAGTAAATTCATACTCATTTCTCATGCTCATTCATGCTTATTTCCCAAGGGCCTGACAGAAAGCACACAACAGAGACATAGCTCAGATGACGGTATTTTCAGTGCAGTTCACACATGGGTCTGTGAAATGTTGGGGGAAAAAATTGCTAAGTGAGGCAAATCAACACATATAAATCAGACAGATGCCGGATTTGTATGTGCTGAAAGCTAGATCTTCAATGGCTGAGTGATCCTCTTGGTTCAGTGGTTCCCCCCCCCCACAACTGCTGTTTTTTCCTTTTGTTTTTCAATATGCATGGATCATATTGTATAATACAGCCCCTGAATTTAATGGATAATTTCCATGCATAGCAAGATTAAAAAATAATATTCTCATAATTGCATCTTATATATATAGATAAAAAATACTAGAAATCTTCATTAAATCATTTCTGCATCAGCAGATGCCACAACTTTCAGATTTGTCTTGCTAATGTCACCTGTGACTTCTTCGATTAATGATAATTAGAACAAGAACTGCAACTCCTTGAGCCTGTTTTTATTGGAACAGGATCTTGTCTTTTTGATCTCTAAAAAACAGCTCCCTTGGCCTGATGGCCTCTTTAGTGGAAGGTTAGGAATAGGGCTGAACTACACGACCTTTTTAATTACTATGGGGGTTTGTTTGAATATTTTTATCCCAATTTTTTTTATTTATTTATATATATATTTATATATATATATATATGGACTAGATGCTCATAGTAGTGCAAGTGATTTAAGCCAACATCTGAAAGTGTATTCTTTGTACTTGATATCCTAGGTATTCACCAATACTCAAAATGTATGTGAAAAGACTTACCATGTTTACAGATGCTATTTCAAACACTGTGCTCAAGACTGTTTTGGGTGAGACCTGTCTGATAATGATGGTCATTTAAGGAAGGTAACTGCCTTAACTCTCTCAGTCACTACTCCCCTCACTGTTAAGACTATTCCCACAGTGCCAAACACTATTGCTGCTTCTGTCTCTTCTATTACTCTCTTGTTTGTCCAGCACTATCCCTTTAAGGACTGAGAGTCAGAATGGGTTGCTGAGATGGGGAGGAACAAAAACAAGCAAGCAAGCAAATTAACTATATTGTATGGCACAGCCATGGCATAGTACATTGCACAAACCAACTCCCTCTTTCTGCTCTGATATGTTGGCAGGCATGTTACGATACATTGTGATGCAGTTGCCAAGTCTTCAGTATTTCATCCAATTAAGCCACAGGGATGCATTTTGATGGAGTGTTCTCTGAACTGTGGTTTGCAGTGTGGACATCCATATTAGCGTCATTCGTTTCCAAAACGCTGGATACCTGGTTTCCTTTGCCAAGATGTTTAATTATGTTGATGTTCCATTTGGCAGTTTCCACAAAACTGTTTTCAAGTAACCAGCCATCGGAGTCACAGAGTGGATCTTCCTGCAGAAGAAGGTTCCTCATTGCTGTTTGAAGATAACGAACCCCAATGAGGACAGATAGCTGAAAAAAGTAAGCCAAATGAACAGAAAATTAGAAAGTTGTGATTCCATTAATTATAGTGCACAACAACACAGAATTTAAGAGCTTGGTGATGATGAGCACCACATGCTTGAATTTTTAAATTTTGCCCTTTGATTTGGGACCATTTAATTTATTTGGTGTTAAAATCTTTGGCTGGCACCTAGGTTGGAGTACTTTCTCTTTTGATTTTTAAAGTTTTTGATTTTTAAAGTCTGCATGAAGCTCAGAGAAAAAAGCCCTGCTGTTTCTAGAAGTCAAAGCTAAAGAGCAAAGGGGAGGTTTTTTCTCCACAAAAAGACATGAAGAGTCTTAAGTCCTATCTTCTAACTAGAAGGAATAGGGCTAACCCATTCCTGCTGAATCCATTTTTCAGCAACCAGAATGGTACTGAAAGGTATAATGGTACCATTCTCTCCTCCTCGTTCATTCTGCTTTGTACTCTCTTGCTCTTCCATTCCACAAAACTTTCTCACTGTTGGGTTGTTGTTGTTTTATCTAATCTCTGAGAAATTAATTCTTAACACTTTCAGGTACAGCCTTCCCAGTGTGGCAGGGTTGCCCCTGGTCTACTTTTTAAATAATATTTCCTGAATATATGCACCAGAGATCATTCAAGACATTCACAGTGCACTCTTTAAATCTCATTAGCACTGGTGCTGCCAGGATAGAGCTTGTAGAAAGTATGAAAATAACTGAAGAAGGAATTCAACAGTCATTACACAAACATTAGTTTAGCCCTGGAAGGGAGGAGTGAGTGTGAAAGAAACTCAAGATTGCCTCACCTTGATTCTCTTTGGTATGAGAAGCAAGTGGCAAGAAAATCTGTCAGGCTTTTAAGAGCACCAAGGACTCCGCAGTTCAACCCTCAGCTACTTATATTCTCTTCTATTGGAATCACTATTACTTGTTGGTAGTATCAGGCCTAAGAAGCTTTATTAGTCAGAGTCTTAGCCTTCCATTAAAGAAGATAATGAATGATAGTTCCTCTTGCTGTTAAAATGTAATTTCTACAAATACCCATTTAATCTGCTCAATTTTCTCCCTAAAGTGTCTGGAATAATTGATGATGGAAACTGTTTAAAAAGTCAGAAAGGTAACACTCCTAATTCTACTGTGCTGTTTTCGAATTGTATTGCATTTTTTCATAACAGCAGTTTTGAGAAAAGAGTTCCAAACTTCCTTGAAATGCTACTATAAATAAAATCTTTCCATCTAAACTATTATTTTTTTCATTTGGTCAGATCAGCAGGTTCTAAGGCATAAGAGCTTTGCTATTTGGATTTTACAGCACATGCTCAAAAGCTGTTCTTTGGTAAAATACATTCTGCTTCTCCTCATACCATTTCTGAACCCTGGAACAGACCTGGCATGTAAGCTTTCTTGCCACATGCCTATATTTGCTTTTCAGATAATTTGTTTTAGAGTTTGACCCATGTCTCTAATCCTAAACATACATATTTGTATGGAAAATTGGATTCAAACAATATCTTTAGTAGGATGGGGGGAAAGAGTCCTTCCTTTAATCTTTTTTAACTGTAAATTGCTCTTGAGAAGATTACATGCATTCAGCAATATTTTCAGTGGTCTTTCCTTCATCAATCATTCACTCTATAGAAGGCTATTCCATTTTCTGACAGATTGTACTCTTATGAGAGGAACACTTCAGTAAATGTGGTTTTACCTCAAACACCCAAATGATGAACGTGATGATGCCGATGGATCTCATGATGTCAGTGTAATAATCCAGAAGGGCTTCCCTGCATCCTTTCATCCAAATATTAAGTTCTTCTGTCAGAAAATCATAACGGTAGTGAGCAGTATTGTTTGTGAGCTGGTACTGGATACAGGGACGGGGTGAGTTTGGATTGCAACAACTGAAGGGGACTCCATCCACCAAGAATTTCCCATCAATATTATTTTTTAGGCGGCTGCAACAGGATGGGGGGAAAAGAGAGATGTGAACAATGGCTAATAACTCAGACAGGAGGATTAAAATTAATTTGCTCACTGCATTTTGTTGGAAGGAAAAGTTCTGTTCACTTTCTAGTGGTCTCTGAATTAACCACTCAGATTTTGTATGGGTTCACTAGTCCAGATTAACCTTTCCTGCAGAGATGCATAACAGGGATGTCCAATTTTGTCATCTTTTGATGGTGGACTTGAACTCAAGTATCTATCAGATGCGTATACTTTTGCCCAAGGTGGTTGCTAGCAAAGTGGGAAATTATTTTCTCATGATGTGGCAGAGGAACCCAAATGCAAGCAATATCCAGGAAAAGAGGGGAGGTTGATGAAGGAGGTAGATTTGAAGTCAAGTGGATTGCCCACAGGTCTAACTCCTAGCAGTTCATAAGGGGCTGCTTTTAGGAGATACCCTTTTCTGTCTAGGGCAAAGCTTCCCATCCACTCTTCCCCTTAAGCATATGTTCATGCATGCAACTTACTCAGATTACCTTTGCCACAGCACTGGGTGGCAGAGTCAGCATCTGGGGTAAATCTCTACTGGTAAGTCCTGTAACCCTATAATGGGGGCTCCTGATAAGCAGCTTTGGAGGTGGGAATTTTTATGATCCCACCCAACACAGTTGGGTGCCTTTCCCTGCTCCATCAATATCAGCAGACCATAATTTAACTTGCAGTGAGGAGGGCTTACTAATATGCCTTCCAGCTGGTGGGAAAAGGAACAAGCAAAGAGAGTGACCATGCACATTGGCAGTAGGAAGGGAGCTAAACTGATGTTAGCTGTAGAATACAAAAGTACTGTACAGCTAGTATTTTTTCCACTCTGCAAAAAAATTTAATTGGCAATCCCTTTGCCTCTTTCCCACACACTACCTTTAACTCTTTTGGTATGAGCAAATGGTTAATCAAACCATTGATTAAACAAGTAATTAAACTAGTATTGCTTGAGAGGCATTTCTAAATATGAGCAATTAAAGCATACCACACATTTTGCACTTGCTTATCCCAAAATACACTTTAGTTTTTGAATAAGTTACTGCCTCCAGATTAAAAGGATTCAGGTAGGTAATGTGTAGGCTTGACTGACAGAATAAATCTGAAACAGTTAAAGTGCCCCATGTAAGGGACATGGGGGAATAGAAATGATGCTCCTCACTTGGCAACTAAGGTTTCTTACTGAGCATGTCATGCAAACCTGGCTGTAGTGCATCCTGATGGGTAGCAATTCTCCAGGGAAAGCCTTGCTCATCACTTCCCACATTATGTTTTCAGCTGGCCCTAGCTAGACAGTCCTTGGCTCAACTTTATGCCTATATGTGGATTCAGAAAGCAAGAGGTAGGGTGAGAGGGGAAAGGGGATCAGACAGACTTGTTTGTGATTGACACAGATGAAGAGCTTTCTTTTACAAACTGCTGCTCAGTAAATTGCTGAAGTCAGAAAATACTATGCCATGAAAGGGAACTTATACTATAATGAAAGATTTTGAAGGACTAGAGTCAACTTAGATATATAAGGAGAGCTGTTTATGATAGCTAAAAAGCATGCAGCTCTGAAAGCTTATGTCTTACAATAAAATTTGTTAGTCCTTAAAAGGTGCTATCAGACTCTTTCTGATTAAACTTAGTATCATAAAACTGCACATATAGATGAGTACAACTGCTGAAAACTGGCAGCACAGTTTCATGCCATTTTCAGTCAGGAAGCACTCAAAAACCATAGTAGATTACAACTATGGTGTAAGTCCTAAAATAGGTTAAATATACTTTTTAAAATATAAAATCTTAAAAATCTCACCAAAAATTTGACCTCTCCCATTGCAACCCCCCAAAAAAGTTAATCGTCAACTATTTCCAGGATAGGTTGCTTAAAATTACAGGTTTTACTTTATTTTATAGAACTCTGAAGGAACAAAAAAATATTTTCTTGCTAAAATTTATTGCTAAATTATTAAAGTTAGTGATATTTAGAAAAGAGAGCTTTTATAATTCTGTTTTTATTCTGAATTGGAAGATACTCTAGACATCATCTAATTCAGTGAAGTGCAACCCCTGTGCCCAGAATTGTATGAGGTTACCAAAAGACTTGAATGTAATCCCCAGGGCCCTTCCTAAATTGCTACTGAATTCTCATTTTTAATATGATAGAAAGGGAAAACTATTAAATACATGGCAAGTAATCATACTAAATATATTTATTGAATTTAAATTAAATTAAATCAAGGCTAGTATTGTCCTGGCCCTGCCCACTTCTTCCTGGCCCTACCTGTCTTTGGAGTACTGCTTCCCAGCTTGCTGTACAAAAATCAAGAGTGGCCCTTGGCCTAAGAAAGTTCCACATCCATAAGCAATCCAATATTTTGCTAAATTTTGAATTCTCAATACTGGATATATCTACAGCATCACTTAATATCTCAGGCAAAGCAGAGCTACCACTTTGGAAGGCACTGAGGCCTATTACTGAACAGTTTGCCATATAGTACTCAGATGTTTCTCCTGATGTTAAACCCAAGTTGGTTTCTCTGCCATTTCTACCCACTGGTCTAGTCTTGCCCTCTCAAATAAATGCTCCATGTTTGAGATGACATCCCTTAATTATCTGAGAGTACTATATTTCTCTCCATAACTTTCCTCAAGCAAAACACATACCTTTCAGGATCATCATCCTAGTTGGTCTCCTTGATCATGCTCAAGCTTAGGTTCAAACTCATTTCATGAGAGGAAATTAATACTTACTCTAGAACATCCTTTGAAGCCATATCCAGATAACGAGGTGATACCCACTGAATTTCAAACCAATCTCTAAAACCATTGTTTCCACAGCACTGGAATCTGATCTGTAAAGTGTCTATAGTTCTCTTCAAAAAGCATCTTCCAGGGATGTCTGTATCCTTGTAGAATTTAATAGCATCTCTCAATCCCAGATATAGAGATTCTTCCAATTCATTTCTCATAGTATAGCACATAATAGCACCCACAAAGATGCAGAAGGTGAAACAGAGAGTGCATACAATATAAGGGAGCATGACCAGCTTCCAGCGGTTAAATTTATTGGCATCTGTGCAGTCATAACAGATTTTACCTCCAAGAAAGTTGATTATACAAACTATGACTCCAATAGAAATTAATATATTTGGAACAGAGTTAATATCCCATTTCGCTATCACCTCCTTGCGTTTTCTGATTTCAATCTTTAGGAAGAGTCCAAGGCTGAACACAACTGCACCAGATATCACAGAAAACCAGTTGAGAATCCATAGGATTTGAGCTAATTTGTCTCGTTTGGTTTTGGTGAATTTTACTTTAAGAACAGCCATGGTCACTACAGCATTAGGATAAGAAGCTTTGTTCAGGAAAATCTTCTAATCAGATTATCCAAGTGTGTTCAGAGTATCAAAGGCATATAATAGAAGCCTATGAAGCAGAAAAAAAAAAGAGATAATTGCCTTTTCCCCATGTGCATTTATGTAACATGTAGCTTCTATGAACCTGAGACTGTGCATTATTTGGAGGTAACCCCTACTCAGTTTAATTAAAGAATACTCCCTTGTTAGTATTTATAGTTGTTTAATCTGCTCCATTGATTTCAAATGGACTGACTAATGACTAACTTTAGAAGGCTTGGAACCTTGATATACAATGATACTGTACACACTATTTAAAAGGTAATTTAGTGATATAACTAAATTGAAACTTTCATCTGGTGCTTATACCAGGTCAGGTCAGCCCAACCTCACCTAATGTGTTCCACATTTAAGAGACAATCACTAAATTAGAACAAAATACACATTGTACAAAATCATGCTTAAAAGCACAACCCAACTTTACATCAGTTATTGATGCCTGGGGAGGTAGGGTTAGTATTGCATAATTTCTGGCTATTAGCTGCTATGGTAGAGAACTGTTGGGAGAGGATGCTAGAAAGCTCCACCAGGGCAGCAACCCTACTACTCCAAGAGGGATAGAAGGTTACTGTTTTTAGTAAAAGACAGATATACATTAAATCAAAGTCAAAACATCATGCCAGGTCTATCTCCCATCCAGGCACCGAACAAATCAAGATCTCCTTGGTATCAAACACCCTTCAGGCTTTGCACAGGGATCCACATAATCTCCCAAATGACACTCAAATAGATGATTCAAGTTCTGGATTAAAAAATCAGTATTCTTTACATTTCCAGATATTCTTGTCATCTTATTGTGTTTCCATATGAATACTGTAGCTGAATATAGAAAGATGAAGTTGTACAGAGCCCAGATTGTGATGAATCACCATACAATACTTAATAGTGTTTATGTAGCAATTTGGTTTGTTTGAATTCCTGTGATCACAAATATTAATTAATAATTATTGCTTGTGTGCATCTGCCAAGAAAATTTATGGGCATGTCCATATAGCTATCAGGTGCTGAGCTCAACTTGAGGCAGACTTTATACACACACATACATATATACATATAAAAGTATCCATACACTCACACATATAAACACATATACATATTCATGCATTCACACACAAATGCGTGCACGCACACTCATGGAGATATGATTATTTCTAGGATATCTGAACAGGAGGGGTGTAGGGTGAACTATACAGCAGTAAGTGGTCCTGTAGGTAATTTGAACATAAGCTGTTCCTTAATACCTAGAAGTGAGAAGTGTATAACATGCCATGCTTCCATAGAAAGAGGTTGTAAGCTGGTGAGTGAGCAAATGCAATGTGAATAATAGTATTCCAAAAATAAGTCCACATAGTGGAGCTGCATTTTGCAAAGAGTGATGGAACTTAACCAATAGTGTTGTTCAAGGAGTAGCAGCAATGAGAGGACAGAGCTTTTCCAGAATCCCCATTACAAAATGTCCAACAGGATGGTTGATTTAGGCTATCTGACCAAACATGCAATGTGGAGTATTGGAGTTCAGTGGTTGGAAATAAGGAGGCTCTGCCTATTGAGTAATGTCAAAGAGTGATGCTAATGAAAAACTTGAACAGCAATGATAGAAGAATAGTGGAGAATAGAAAATGAGTAACAACTTTCTCTGACAATTGCAACATAGGTAAGTACACGAAAACCCATAAAATGCCCCTGGCATAAGACTTCTTGCAGACCTTAGTCCAGTGGTTTGGTCTGAAAGTGGATGGCCAGGGCTTTCTTGAAAAAATGAATTAATCTGAATGGTCAGAATTCATACAATAAGGAGTGGAATTCTCTGCAAAAGAAACCGCTGATTCAAGGAACCTTCTGCAGGGTTACCAGATGGGCTGCAAAATCTGGAAACACACTAGATGGAAGCAAGGAGACTTTTCTGTACCACTATGCTGCCATCTAATGATCAAAAAGATTTTGCCATATCAGGTGGCCCTGAGCTTCTGAGCCCAGGACACTGGGAAGCAAGAGTTCACACAGTATAGCTGGTTCTGGCAACTGATCAAAATGTTCAGTGATTCGAACTCTGAAGCAGCCCTGGACAATCTGTTACTCTCCTCTGTAGTCCCAAAGGAAAAGGGTGGGGATGCCAAGAGACTCAGAAAGCCTTGAAAGACAAGTGGGGAAAACACTCAACTCCATCTCAGCTCCAGTCTGGGATTCATGCGGTCATACAGCCTATGTGAAATTGTGGGCCTTTTCTGACAAGTGCACAGGGCACCATCAGAATTCATGGAAATGGACAGCTACTTAATTGAGAGACAATGCGATTGAAACTGTAGTATGACTACTTAGAAACTCCATGCCAAGCTGCACGAATCACTCTGTAAACAATGAAGAAAAGCACAGTTTTCATCTTCCTGCAGATAATGCTCAGTAAGTGCAAACTTCTTTTTTCTTAATATAAAAAGGCTGTTTTGCAATCTAGTTGGTTAGCTGATATTTGAAACTGGTTAGAAATTCTGGAAGAACCACTAAGAAAATGAGGAAACAAAACCAGGAGAATGCCTGTTACATGGCCGCTTACAAAATCAGCAACAAAACCAATTGCTATTAACCTTTTTTGAAGTTAGGGGGTAAGTCAGAACAATAAGAAAAACAAGACTCACATGAATGTATTTTTTGTGGATAAATGTGTATTTTGTAATGATAGAACTGTATCTACCAGAAGTATGGTGTATTAAGATTTAATCATTCTGATCTTTCAGTATATTTTCCCCACTTTATTAACAAATATATGGCAATCTACAATGGGGGAAGTGAGAGCTGGAGGGAAAAACTATTTCTAGACCAGTGTTTCTCAATCTTGGCCACTTGAAGATGGCTGGGGAATTCTGGGAGCTGAAGTCTTCAAGTGGCCAAGGTTGAGAAACACTGGTCTAGACCCATGATTAGAACAATGTTTTAGCTACCCACGCAACAGTTATTTTATGATGGCTTGCAGTTGAGGCAAGTTTTCAATCTATTTGAAACAGGTTGTAGCTGCCCCCACCCTCCTTGCCTTCCAGAAGGCCTTGAAGAGCTGGCTCTTCCCACAAGTGTTGGGATAGGATGAGGCTGGAGCCCAGCAAGATGGTGTGTGGATGTATGGGACAGCGCTGCCCCGGGAGTTTTACAGAGTTTGTATTGATTTTTATTCTGACTGGTGGATTTTGTTATTTTTACTGTTTTATGTGCCGTCAGGGTTGTGGTTACAATACGGATGGTTATACAAGTCTTATAAAATAAACAGATGAATAAATAAGTCACATTATTAGGTGTTTACAGAAACTTACTACTCCCAATGTTCTTGAGAGTGTTTCTTGTTCTTCCCTTTGCTTGATCTAATTAATTTAATGTTATTTATTCATTACAACTGTTGCTTTAGAAATACCGTGTAGAACTATTGGCTAGCTTCTCCAGTTTCTCCTTTAGTCACTTTTAAAAGAGGATTATTCTTTTTCGACAAGGAAAAATGTCAACCATTTGCAACTTTGAAAATTATGGAATTTTGGATTTATTCTAAAAAGCTCAGCCTTTCTTATCAGAATAACATTTCACTAATTTGATAATGTGCACGTAACATGGTTCCAAAGACTACAAGTGCACCACCTTACCATTCTACCATATGAGCACTAGCTGCTCACATTCTTATGGAATTTGAATATATTTTCATTTTTAATTAATGTGAGATATGACCTCAAGCCAAAAATATGAGATATAGTGATAATGAGTAAGGTACATCATATGGCAGAAAAAAGAATGCTATGTCTTTCATATGGACTTTTTTTTGTAAAAAATGCTAAGATGCATCAACTAGGATAATTGTAAATTTATACAATATGAAGTACTTATGCACTGCAAATTAATTGAGAATTAATTATAACCTGATTACCATTTTAAGTGAGAAAATGCTACTACTAGTTGGGTTCATTTTGAGTTGCCCACTTGTCAATTGAAAAATGATTTCAAAATTATTCCTTGGTTCTCTTTCTCTCTCTGTCTCTCTCTTTTTTAACTTCTTTCTCTAATAAGGCCACCCATCTGTAGCTGTGAACTAAACTTGTTGGATATTCCAGGAATTATTTTTCCAATGTATCTAGAGAGCACCACACTGAAAACAGCTGTTTTAAGGAATAGCTTTATCTTAGGAAAAAAGTGCAATGGAAAAAGTAATTATTCTGGAAAAAAGGAATCAATGTTGTTAATGAATGATCAAGGACTGTCCCAGGTATGCTGCCTGAGTGTACGTGAAGGGGATGGCTTCAGTGCAGGCTTATCAAAGCTAGTCCTGAACATCAGTGGACCTGGAGTTTTGGTCATTCATTTATTATTCCAAATTATATAGCTGCCCATCTCACTTAAATGACTCTGAGTGGCTTCCAAACAATCAAAAACAATATAAAACAGCAAAAACAATACAATTCAAAAATAATAAAAACAATATAAAAGCATATACAAAAATCATAAAACTCATAGCTGGGGTAATCATAATGAGCCTGGGGAGAGGGGTAAACTGCCCTATTTCTCTTTAGGCTACTTTTCTATTTCACGTTAAAGTAAGACCACTTATTTGGCGTCAATTTTTTCAATGGGAATATGGGCTCAGAGAAAGGGAGAAATAGAATATTAAGCTAGAGGTAATCAGTGCTGTAGACCAGTTATTTTGCTGCCCCATTTTAGGAGCTGGTTTGTGTCCAGGAGACTCTCTTTATATATTTATAGTAAAAGAAATATTGCAAAGGCACCATAAATTTGTAATGCTATCCCTAGGGTTTTTTAGCTACACAGGTAAAATAAGTAAAAGCTTACTTTAGTTTGGTCTAGCAGCTTAAAAAATACAATTTGTAAGGATTATATGCTCATAATTTTGAACTTCAGTTCGTAGTTGTAGATGCATATAGGAGACA